AAAAATTTCAATGAAGGTTAAGTACATGGGTAATTACAAAAGCTATTACTATGAAACAATTTGTAACTCCATTTTATGTTTTCTATGTGATTAAAGTGTGTATATATATATTAGTCTAAAAGTTTATATTATTAATACATATATTATTATATTATTAATACATATATGTATTAGTCTAAAAGCTTATATTAGTGGAACTTTAGTTTATAATTTCACATACTATTTTCTACATGATTCAAGAGACTAATTCACATAAAAGATATTAGACAAAAAGGTTACCAGAGACAAAGGAGGACACTGTATAGTAACAAAAAGTTCAATACAGGAAGAAGCTATAACAAGTATAAACATCTGTGCTTCTTATAACAGATCAGCAAAATATATGAAGCAAAAAATGGCAGAGCTGAAGGGAGAAACAGCTTTACAATAAGATAGCCTAATTTTTCACTCTCAATAACTGAACAACCAGCAAAAAATAAGAAGGTATGGGAATTGAACAAAACAATAACCAAACAGATGTAACAGACATCTACATAACACTCTACAAATAGCAACAACATACACATTCTTTTCAAGTGCACAAGGGACATTTTCCAGCATATACCATAAGTTCAGTCATAAATTAATGTATTTTAAAAGATGGGTATCATGCAAAATACTTTCTATAGCCACAATGGGATGAAGTTAGAAATCAACAACTGAGGTAAAACTGAAAAGTTTACTTATTTGTGGAAATTAAAATGACCAATGAATTAATGAAGAAATCACATGGGAAATTAAAAACACTTAGAGCAATGAACACAACATACAAAATCTTATAGGGTGCAACAAAGCAATATTAAGGGGGAAATTTATAACTACACACATTTAAAAACTATAAAAAGATCTTAACAACATGACTTTACAGCTTAAGGAATGAGTAAAACAACAACAAACTTAATGGAAAACTAACAGAAGGTGACTAAACAGAGGAAAAAGAGACTAGACAATCAATAGAATAAATTAATAAAAAAAAACTTTATCTTTGAAAACACTAACAAAATCAAAACATCTTTATCTACATGAAATAACAACTGAAAAAGACTCAAATTGCTAATATCAGAAATAAAAATGGGGACATTACTACCAACTCTATGAAAATAAAAAGAATTATAAACAAGTACTACAAACAACTATATATAGTTGTTGTATCAAACAAATTTAATAACCTAATGAAATTTACAAGCTTCTAGTTACAGAAAACCTACCAAGACTAAATATTTAAGAAATAGAAATTTGAAAACACCTATAACTATTAAGGAGATTGAATCAGTAATCAAAAATTGCCCAATGAATAAAAGCACTGCCCCTATCCTTTTGAAAATTTTCCAAAAAAGTGAAAAGGAGAGTACACTTCTAATTCATTCTATGAAGACAGCAAAGACACTACAAAAAAGAGAAAGCTACAATCCTTTTAATAGCCTATTGAAAGGATTATACACTGAACAAATGGGGCTTATTCCTGGAGTGGTTCAACTTATAAAATGATCAGTACAATAGACCAAAGGGGAAAAAAAAGATTATTTCAATTGATGCAGAAAAAACATTTAACAAAATTCAAAACCCTTTCATGACAAAATACTAAAAACTAGGAACAGAAGTAAACTGCTTCACTATAATAAAAGTCATACATGAAAATCTCATAGTAAACATCATACTCAACGGCAAAAGACCGAGAGTTTTTCCTCTAAGATAAGGAGAAAGGTAAAAATGTTCACTTTGCCAATTCTATTAATATAGTACTGGGAGTTCTAGACAGAGCAAATAGGCAAGAAAGGGAAATAAAAAGCGGCCAAATTGGAATGGAAAAATAAAATTATTTGTTCATAAATCATATGATCTTATATGTAGAAAAGCCTAAAGATTCTACAAAAATATTTTAGAACTAATAAATGAATTCAACAAAGTAGGATACAAAGACAACACCCAAAAATCAGTTACATTTTTATACACTAACAATGTCTGAAAAAGACATTAGAAAAAACAATTCTTTCAAGAGCATACAATAAAATGCTTAGGATTAGTGTTGGCAAACATGTAGAGAAATTGGAACCCTTGTGCATTGTTGTGGGAATATGAAAAGGTTCAGTTGCTATGGAAAAGAATGACTATACATCCAAAAATTCTAAAATAGAATTATCCTATGATCCATCAATTTCTCTGTTTTTGCTCCAAAGAACTGAAAGTAGGATCTGAAAGATTTATTTTTACACCCATGTTCATCGCAGCATTATTCACAATAGCTAATACAGAAGTAACCCAAATTAAAAGATGAATGAATAATCAGAAGGTAGTACATATATACAACAGAATATGTTTCAGTGGTTAATCAGAAAAATCTGACATGCTACAAGATGGATGAACCTTGAAGACACTGTGCTAATGAAATAAACTAGTTATGGAAGGACAGATACTGTATAATTCCACTTATATGAGATAGTTACAGTAATCAAAATCATAAAGACAGAAAGGAGAATGGTGGCTGCCAGGGACATGAAGGGTATAAGGAAAGGGTTATTGTTTAATGGGTACAGGTGGCAGTTTTATAATATGAAAGAATTGTGGGGACAGATATGGTAATGGTCATAATATTATGGCTATAGTTCACATCACTGAACTGTTACTTAAAAATGATCAAGATGGTAAATTTTGTTTTATGTGTATTTTACCACACACACAAACGATTGCAGTAAGCTAAATTCTTATTTTTTGATGCTTAAATATTTATTATCCTAAAAAGGACCTCATTCAAAATTGAAGGATTGATTTGGTCAATTCATGGCTGTTCTAATATTGATCTAGTATTATCAGAAAGGTGTTATGCAAGAATTTTTTGTCTGTTAGATAAATTACATATGGCAATTATATCAATTTTTTCAATATACATAAGAACAAATACAAAGTGTGCGTATATGTGTATACACACACACACACACACACACACACACACATAAAAGATTTGCAAGTAGCCCATTGTTTATGACAGTTCTCCTAACACATAATCTAGAAGCAAGACCATTAAACTGAAAGGTTGAAGATGTATTTTAGTTTTCATTCATACTGCTACTTAATGTGACCTTGGAGAAAGAGTTTAACATTTTTAGGTTTCAGTTTCATTATTTGCAAAATAAACACACTGCGAAATGAACTCCAAAGGCACTTTCCGTTTCATAGTTCTATGAATTATATTGTAAAGGACAACATAGCAACAACATACACATTTTTTTCAAGTGCACATGGGACATTTTCCAGCATATACCATAAGTTCAATCACAAATTAATATATTTTAAAGATGGGTATCATACAGGGCTCCTAAAAACAACAACAAAAACAATCATAAAAGCCCTTCACTGCACACAAGGATTAACATCAATTTTACTTAGTGTGATTTATTAAAATCTAATATTAATAAATGTCATCCATTACTTTCACAGTAGCAATGGTTCTGACATGTTTTATCATATGAAAATAAAGTCCATAAATTTTGCCTAAATTAAAAACTTCTGGGGCCTCCCTGTTGGCGCAGGGGTTAAAGACACAGTATTATCAAGCTATTGCCAATCACTGCAGCACAAGTTCAACCCCAGCTGGTGAGGGAGCTACCCACATGGTGCAGCAGACCTCTCCTGTCTGGCCCACTGCTCCCCTCAGCAGTGTATTTTAGTCAGTCTGCCTGTTCTGTTCCCCGCTCTGTGTCTGGTGAATCCTCTCACCCTCCCATACCTGTGCACCTGGCCTGTACCCCAGTTCTTATATGCATAAATAAATAAATCTTAAAAAAATTCTGAACTGTTACTTGTAAAATGCTAAAAGTATAAGTTTATATACATCAAAACCCTGAAATATTTAAACATGTAACACACAGCTACTGTACATTATGTTTAGAGAGACAAAGATCAACCAGAAAAGCTGTCTAAAAGAGGTCATAGAAAAATGAAAGTAAAACCTATTTATTTTATTCAATTTGTTACTTTCTGTTTTGATTTTTCAAATTATTTGAGAGTGTAAGATAAAGCTATTTTTTCCTTATGTCTATTGATGAGTTTTAAAACTTGGTATTTTTAAGATTAGGGAGAAAGTGCTTTATGGTGGAAGTATGACTTTTTCCCTTTCTCTTCAAATTGCTTTAATTATTGGAGGCATGGGGGTGGCATGGAGATATAGGTTAAGTCCTTCTGTCTGAGTAAGTTAGACTGGAGTTTAAATCTTAAAAGATTCTACCTCACAGATAGCTTACAATCTTGTATAATTTATTTGAATATCAGTTTCCTCATATGTAAAACATGGGAACTCTTAGTATCTCAGAAAATTGTGAGGATTATGCCATAACTTTTAATATTCTCATAATATTTTATTATATAAAATAATACATATGATATATAATACACATACAATTTATTTAACCAATCTTCTCTTCAGCCAGCCAGCAATATTATTTATTGATCACCTACTCTTTGCTAGAATTGGGGCATAGCAATAAACAAGAGGAAATTGTCATTCCTAGGAGAACTTACATTGCAGGGAGAGAGAGAGAAAGTAAAACAGGTAAGGATATTGACCTGACAGCATCCTAACCTTCACCCTTCATTACATGAGAAGCAGGAAGCAAATCTATGCAGGAAGACTGGGTAAAATTGTTTAAATAAAAAAAAAAGAAAAATAATTTGATCAAAGGGACCAATAAAACTGGTTGAGACATATCCACAGTCAATTAAAAGGGATTAAAAAACTCCAGTTTGAAAGCTATATCTGGGCACAGCAGACCCCTCCTGTCTCACCACTGCTTCTGTTAGCAGTGTATTTCAATAAATCTACCTGCTCTGTTCTCAAAAATAAATAAGTAAATAAAAGTTTTATATGGGGGAGGAATCACCATCAGGTCTTGGTCTATAGTTGTGATGGTTGTCTGGAGTTAAGAAAAAGGAATGCAGACTAAATTTATAAATGAGTCATGTATATCACTATTAAATTATGAATAGTAAAAAAATTGACAATATCTTCCAGTATTTAAAATTATCTGATGCAGAAATAAGTCAATCACAGAACTGAGGAATAATAAATTTCCACATATTTCAAGAATGTGATAAACTGTGTCAAACATTGCTGGAGGGTCAAGTAAATTGAGAATAAAGAATATGATTTACCAGATAAAATCACTGGTGACTTTGATAAGTGGAACAATAAATAAAAGACTGGGATGGGTTGAGGAAGTAAGAAAAGTCAGACAGCGAGTACAGTAACAATTCTTTGGAGAGCTATAAGGGAGCAGAGATATGGGGTGGTAGTTGCTGGGCAGAGTTTTTTTTTTTTAATATGGGAGGAATTAAGGCACATAAGATGTTGTTTGGTCTGATCCAGCAGTGAGGGAGAAAAGAAAGGCTAGTGAGCAAGAGAGGAATGAAATGAAGATTAAGTATTTTGAGTAGGTTTAAGAAAACAATTCAGAGAAGGTAGAGAGAGTTCTTGGCCTTAGGTTTGAAAAAAACAAAAAAAGCACTGATTTTATAAGGTTACTATGAGGCTCCAAGTATATGAACCAATATGAAAACATTTCCTATATTGTGAGAAATTAAAAAAGGATTATCAAACCCTGCCCAGGTAATAATGGAACTTTCTATATCCAGGTTCTACTTGCAGGTTCAGAGATAAAAGACCTTTTTTTTAAATCTAAAATTAATGATAGCTTTCCCAATAATAGATAATGATTCCACTGATCTCCTTTTAGGCTTGATTAAAAAAAGCCCACAAAATAAGTGAATCCTCAGTTTCACTTACTTTAAAAGTTGGAAAAAAAGTATTAAATTTAATTTGCCGGGACTAGAACCTCTACTTCCTATTTTTGTTTCCCCTATTAAGTTTTAGACACATAAATGTGTCTTGTGATATTGACTACTTTTGTAATTTCTCTTTTCCTTTTTCCTTGTGGTCCTTTAAGGAGAGAGAAGAGAAAACAGCCACTAACCTATGCCCTTAGTGCAAATCAAAGCCACAATGAGCTACCACCTCACACCTGTGATAACAGCCCATATCATAAAGACCAGAAACAAGAAGTGTTGGTGAGGATATGGAGAAAAAGAACTCTTTCCAACTGTTGGTGGGGGTGTAGACTGGTCCAGCCCCTATGGAATAGTGCCCAGCTATTAAAAAAAAAGGAAAAATGCTCACCAATCCCAACAACATGGATGTAACTTAAAGGGATTATATTGAGGGAGATAAATCAGGAGAAAGACAAACACCATATGCTGTCATTGGTATGTGGAATATAGAGCAAGAAAACAGAGCCAATCACTATTAAATTATGGATAGTAAAAAACTTGACACTATCTTCAGTATTCAAAATTATCTTATACAGAAATAAGTCAATCACAGAACCAAATAAATAACAAACCCTAGACATCTGACTGTAGAATAGAAGCTACCAAAGAGGGGGAAAGCAGTGGGAGAGCAAAGTGTGGAGGGGCTTGGTGAAGGATTCTGGGTGTCAGGTGATCCACCTGAAGGTGATGCCCTGTACCTCTAAATCATATACAGTATTATAAACTAATCTTGCTTACACCCAAAAAAAAAGCCCCCCAAACCCCGTACCAATTGTTTCCCCTTCAATATCGTTAAACAATTAAAAGACCAAAAACCATTTCATGGGTGAACAAAAGTCCAGGAAAAAAATGTTAGGTAGATTAAGGAGTATTTTTTTCCCAGTGTGAATTTTATTTTATCTTTTTAATATTAATTTTTTTACATCATTGTTCATTTTTAAACAATATTTGCTGCCCCCCACCCCCTCAGGTGTAGACCCCACAGAGTTCTTACTGGACTTAAAGGCTTCTGAAGTTTTGTCTAGGCGAGGTGCTCAGAGTGGGAACTGTCGGTGCAGCCTGAGGAGAGAGCGCTTTTCAACCCTATCAATGGAAGTTCGAGGACATTGAGAAGGAGTGTCTTGGAGGGGTTAATTGGACTCCAAAGTGTAAGTGAGAGGCTGGAGACCCAGTGGTCATTCGGAGAGACAAAATGTCCTTGACCCGAGGGGAGCCAGGGCGCAGGCCTCCAGGCATTGGGACTTCCGGGCCTGAAACGCCACAGGCACAGGCCAGTAGCCACAGAGGTGAGCCACGGGGAGGGGGGAGGGGACACGAGTCTCCTCACCTGCCAATGGTCGCCGACCAGGCCTCCGCGTTTCTCTGGAACACAGCAGAAGGAAATGACGGAAACGACGGAAACGGCGGGAATCTAGTCCACGTGCCCCTCCCGGCTCAGCTCCCTTATCTCCGCCCCTAGGCCCCGCCCCTCGTGTCCGCGTTCCAGGACCCTTGTTCTCTGGGGGTAGAGGGATCCAAAATCAGAAAACAGACGACATTTTAGAGATGAGCACTCACTGTGACTATCAATGACTTTGAAGCAAAGGGTTTTTTTGTAAATGAAACTAAAGTGATTTTCTGTGAAGTTGGCCTCAAAATATTATAAAATCCAGCCACATCAACCAAAGACTTTATAGAGATGTTGGAGAAATATAGTGACATCTTTTACTGTTATGTTGGTGCTGGACTTTCGTATATGACATTTATTATACTGAGGCAGTTTCATTTCAGGTTTAGGGCATAAAGGTTCTTCAAGTCATCAGAAGAGCTAGGTACCGGGGTGGCATAGCCATTGATTTCCATCCCATCACTTACCATAGGAACCCCTTTTTAAAATATGTGTCCCTTAAGTTTGGGGTCCCTGGGTACCCTTCAGCTGCCTGCTAACACTTCATGATCTAGTGGATCTAGTGAAACAATCTCTCCTCTGACTTCTGTAACATTGCTGCTGCACTCCAATTGGGCTAGTCTCCACTGGAAAGTCAGTCAAGAGAGAGAAAAGATGAAGGGTGGAAAGCTAGGTATATTCAAGAGCCAATATCCTGAGGAAAGGAGAGGGTTGAACAATTGTCCTAAGATTCCATTTCAATTTCAGGGTCAGGTAGAGGGATATTTAAAGAGAGTGAGGAATGTAGTCTCTGCAGGTTCACAGAAAATCAGCTTTTCCATCATGGTGTCTTCAGGCCATAGAGCATTTATCTAAACAGGGCTGAGTGCTGTTTTGGGGGACCGGTTTGGGTTATTTTTGGGGGGAGCTTGGAGCTGGTTTGAGTCTGGGTCATCATGATCTTATGAACATTTGCCTTTACTGACCATCTGTTAGCAAAACCTATTTATTTTTGTTTTGAGGAAGTTAGAGAATGGACATTTAACATAGTTCATTATGTCTTAGGGGGTAGCTAATTGGGTAACTGGAAAAAAGCAAGTGAAAAGGCAAAGTGTGTTATGGACAAAGCAGCAATTTACTAACAAAAGAAGGTTATAGACTGCTAGTGGCAATGGCCTGCAGTTTCAACCTATGGGGGTTTCCAGGAGGAACCTCCCTTTCAACATGACCTTTAGTCCATGAATTTTTTCCTCATTACAAATAGAATTACAGTGTTTACTGAATAAACTGTTTAAAAATAAAATGAATTGTTTGCTGAAAAATTATGATGTACCTTACACTGACAGGACAAGTTTCCTGGACTCAGGACCTGGTATCAAAACAAGGTCAATGTGCCTGCTGCCGAAGCTCCCAGGGTACAATGTTCCCTGTGACATTTTCTCTCTGAAGAAGATAAGGTGAAAGCTATTTTCAATCATCACCTAGGAAATTTTTAGGTAACAGATAAGGATGTAACAGCACAATTGTTGTACAAATTCTATAAAATGTTATGTTTGAATGACCAGAAGAAAATGAAAAAGATGAAAATTATGTTATAATTAAAAAAGATTGAATAAAAATAAGATTTTTATGGAATAAACTTAACATTTTAAAAATAAGTTCTTTTGAAAAGTATCTTTTCCTTGAGTGCAAATAGAAGACATTATAACAAAAAACATTAAACAGTCCCTCAAGATGAAATACCTCTGTAGAATTTAATATAAAAGTGAATAAACAGCATGGTAAACAGAAATTGAGTTGTCCAATGAAAAGTGAAGATCACCTTGTTTGTCACATGAAACCCAACCTCACATCATGAAACCATCACACTTTTCTTTGTGTTAATAAAATACAATTTTAATACAACAAAATATCAGTCCAGAGATAGAAAAAGACCCAAGTAAAATTAGGCTGGCTTAAGGTGAGCCACTTCCCAAGGGTCACACCATTGAACTTCTTCAGCATGACTTTCTTTTCCTATTAGTGCTCAGAAGATCCTTGACTCCCGGCTCTCTCTGCCTCCTTGGCAAGTCTGTCTGCCATCAAGGCCACAGCCAGTCTCTCCCTTGCTTTTTTCACTACTAGAGACTGTATGCGAATATCTCCAGCTGTTACTGGTTGTCCATAGTAGGGCTGTGGGAGAGAGAGACCCACTCCTGGGAGAATCTCTGCCCAGTATAAAGACTGTGCCGTGGTGGGCTCAGGACTGGTGTGTACAGATCCAGGATTACGACTGCCCAGGAACTCATGAACATTTTTAAAGGTATTTGTGAAATCCAAAGGACTTAAAAGTTCTCCTTCACTGCCACAGGCCTGGAGTCCCTGCAGTCTCCTGTACGCAGAGATTTGCTGGGGCTTCTTCAAGGTCTCCTCACTTGTATCGCACCTGACCTCATTGCCAGGGTGGGAAGTTATCCTTGTGACTTGCTTCTTGAAAATACAACTGGTGAGTCTTACAGGAAATGTAGACCTTTCACGAGGTTTCCGCTTAGCCTTGGCTAAATGGACTTGTCTTTTCTTCTCTAAAGTCTGGGGCATCATAGGTCTTTTGAATCTCCCCTTTGAAAACAAGGAGAGATGAGAAATTTGAATAAAGGAGTAAAGATTGTCAACTATGGAGAATGTCATCAGTTCACCTGGATCTGTCAACCATCCACATACTTCCAGCAGGCATAGGTCTTAAATTTGTACTATGCCTCACAATCATCTGCAGAATCTTAAAACTCAGGTTTCTGGACCTCAACACATGTAGCCCTGGAGTAGGGCCAATATTTTGCATTTCTAAGTAATCCCAATTGCTTCCACTACTGTTATTATAAGTACCACATATTCAGATACCAAGAAACAAACATGAACCAAGGATAGGAAAGTCAAGATCGTTCCAATGTCAGTTACTGATCATTTCCCTCCACTATCCTCATTTAGTATATTTCTCTTCCCACCCTTGTCAATGTCAAGTACTTGCATGTGAGTAGTCCTTTGAACCACCATCATTTGGACACAGTGATCACAGATTTCTTTCTTTTCCAAGACATCAGGTTTATTTGTATTTTTTTTTAGTATTCCTTGGCATACAATTAGTGCCTATCTCCAACAAAATCTGTCCCACTACACCTTTTGATACTCATTTAATTTGCACACCAAAATCCTATCTTTACTCAAAGATTTTCTTATTCATAAATAAACAACTCAGAAACACCATATTCTCATCACAGAATTCCAAATTTTTGTACAAAAGCCTCTACTGTAAATTTTTTACTCCCCTGACTCTTTTCCTTATCTCCTCCTGCTCCTCCCTGGCCTCTAATATCTGACTTAACAATTGATTCATCTTTCATGTCAGTTCTTTCTCATGTTTGTTCTATATCCACACCTTCTTCTAGATAATTGCATCCATTCCCCTGACTTCAAATGAATTAGACAAGCATACGGAGTCAGTGCAGATCTAACTTCAACCCAGAGACTCAAGTACCCATCTGCCTACTCACCACATCAGTGATAATATCAATGATTCAGCTCACAGGGATGAGATTACCAACTGAGTCAGCCAGTGCCCAAATAACTCACCCCTATGTGAGTGTCCCCTACATTCACTCTTGGTCCTTACATCCTGTCTACCTCTGAGTGTCATTCTGGACACCCTGCCTCCCCCCAGTCTTTTATCAATGAACCATCCATTTACTGAATCCAAGTAAATGTTGAGCTTTTGAATAATTTTTCAGCACCTTTCAGATTTCCTACAAAATATTTCCATACAGTTACCTTGCCTGCTTAAAATAATAAAAAATTATATCTTATTAAAAAATTTACTTGTATTATCTATTTTTATAATATTTCTAATTAAATTTAATATTCTATGAAGAGATGATTAGTGTGGACTTTCACATATTACCCTGTAATATTCACTTTTTACTTCAACCTTAGAAGGTGCTTAAATTGATTTATTGAAAAAAAAATTCAAACTCCAACAAAACCCTTTTGAAATATTTCAAAACACATTTACTCAACTACAATTATATAATGATATAATCTCATTTGTGGTATAATCCCATAAATTATCAATGCCTACTATTTCAAATCCATTCTCTGTAATCCATTATAAGGTCACCGGTATGTTAGTACGTTTTAAAATGTAAATGCAATAAAAGTACTTTTACTTTTAGATTTCTAATTTCTGTCTTCAGAAGAATTTTTAAAAAATAAATCCCATTGCATACTGTTGTTCTGCCAAATTATTAATAGCTCCCATTTCATGGCCCAATATGTCCCAGTGTGAAGGGAATCTTATTTGTTCCTCCTGTTTAGAGTACCTAATCTATAGCATTGTGTAATTAATCCTTTCATCCAGACTTTAATTTAACAAAGTCATTTCTCCTGTTTATTTAAATGTTGATGAAAAACAGTTAATCACACTATTGACTGTCTAATATAATGTTAGGTATAATTAAATGCTGTGATAATCATAAGACAGATATAGAGGCATAAAGAGAATGAAAAGAGGGAGGGATAGAGGAAGACAGGTAAGGAAGAATAAAGAAAAACTATAATTATTGATAATGAAGAGACTAAGTAAGAACTAACAGATGAGTTGGTATTTGATCAGAAAATTGAATTTTAAGACCATGTCCATTATCGATAAAGCATTTTCCATTGAGGGGAAAATTTAAACGGCACAGGGACTAATATTCCTTCCCTTTCCTAGGATGTTCTTAGTGAAGACAAAACAAAAAAAGCATCTGTCCTAGTACCCCAGAAAGTTTCATATATAAACAGGGTGATACCTTGAACATTATTTAATAAACATTAACATCTAGGAAACAAGATTTAATAAGACACCTCCCTGTTTTAAGAGGTACTGTCTGCTAACTTAAAGAGGTTTCCCAGACGGAAAATGTAGACAACTGACCAGTCTTGCTGTTAATGTTTCAATACTTACCAGAACAGGCTGCCTTGGAAAACTGGTCGATGCAGGTTCTCCCATGGCTGCAAAGTTGTCTTTCTGGTCCCTAATCCTGAGATGAAGATAGTATGTGGCTTTCTGGAAAAGGTAGTACCTTCTGCCTCTGATTCCCCTTTCATAGAGGAAGGGAGTGGATAATCCATTTAGTGGATAATCCATTCAGTGGGTAATCCATTCAGTGGATAATCCAGAGAAGGCATCCAGTCTCATGTTAATGGGATTCCTAAATCTTTATGTGGGGTTACTGACACTGTCACATATTGTTGCAAATGAAAAAAATAGATACATTTGCATATGGGAAGGTGATACTTTCTATTTCTATAAATGTTTTTCATGTTTAATGTGTTTCCTTTTCTCCCACTATAAATACAATCTATAAAAATAACAAAAGTTTCTATGTACAAAACTTTCCATAAAACATTCCTGAATAGCAAAATTAGTGTTTCATTATCAATAAGTCCAATTTATTAAGTTTATAGAATGTATAGGAAGTCATTAACAACAACAAAAAAATTGGCACCTTTGGGTTTAAATTTGCCCCGATCCGATTACTTGTAAATTTGAGATTATTTCAAGCATCTTAGTCTTTTCTTACCTTTTAACCTAACTGCTTTTAATGTTCCTTTAATCTCTTTACCTCACTGACTTTGATTAAACTTTTATTATACCATTGTTCCCTCTATAAACTTGTTATAATCATGTATAAATTTTTGTGTGGTTACACTAATGATTAAATCATGAATTTTTTAATTAATATAGTCTAATAGAAATTACTTTTAATACTTCCCCAATCAATTGCTAATACCTTCAAACACTTTCAATTCATGTTAGTGTTCATTACTTTTGTGCTATTATTCTCATGGATTTTAGTTCTACATATATTTTAATCTCTATGAGACAGTTCTAGGGTTGCTTTATAAAGCAAAATTAATTTCCCTCAATTTATAAGTTATCCATTCCTTTCCAGCTCATTCCACCCATATTTCTGGTTTCCAATACTGAACTTAATAGCTAATGCTAGTATTTTTTTTCTAATTCAGCTGTGTTAAAAGTGAAATATTTTACTTTAAGTTTTCCTTAAATCTTAATTTGGGGCAATCCTGTTGTGGAGCATCGACAGAAGATTTACTTTAGCACTTTAAAATGTGCTCTGATGATATCTTTTTGAGTTTATGTTTACCTACCCAGCACCAATTAAACTTTTTCTTGCTAATTGGATGGACAACTTTGGTTTTTAGACAATGTAGCTCCTTTATGCTTCCTGTTAATATGCTTTTCTTTATATTAATATATTTAGAAGAGGCAATCCTTGAAAACCCCAAAGACAGCTGGCCAAACTGGCAAAAGCCGGTGTGATGATGAATCTCAAGATGATATAAAAACACTTCCAGGATATAGAATCAGCTTACTTGCCTTCAACTTAAGCTCCATTGAGATGGATTTCAGTTTCCAAAGGACAAAACTGTTAGAATCTCTTATCAATTGACAACTTTGATTGGGAGGTACTGCTATATGAAGTCTCAAAAATTTATTGTAAAAGAATAAGTGATGCTGAAACTCTGGACCTGAGGATTTTTAGTATTGGAAAAAGTCCACAGACTCACTCAAGGTAGATGAAGACTTCATTTCCAGCTTTTCTGTGAGGATGGGTATTCCATTAAAGCTTGAACTTGTAGTCACCCTGCTCCTTTTGCAAATAGCTTCAAGTTTTAAGGTTTAAATTCCAGTTAACTTGTGGTGGAAACATTTGATTTAGCCATCAACCACTGGTTCACCAGGAAGAGCCACAGGATTGACTTTCATTCATATCTAATCAAAGTCATTTCCTCGTAATGGCTGCCGGGTATGGGAATGAGGAGAACCTCAGTGAGCAGCAAACACTCACTTGTGCTTTATGTCCCATTTCTTCTTGTGCCCATCCCAGAAACACCTAGCGTAAAACTGCTCCTCCTTTAGATTTGAAAACATTTTGCCAACTAAAATTTTTTTCAGTAATGGATTCTAGTTCAAGGGCTGAAATCTGCACCATTTGCACCCCAGGAAACAGTTCTGTAAAGAAAAGCCTTGGTCCAGATTCCATGCAAAACCATTTTAAACAAAAACTGATCCAATTTGTTTCCATTTCCCCCCAATAGCTTGAATTCATTTTTTTGCTCTGTCCTTGACTATTTAAAGTTGTATTCATTTTCATGAAACCTGTTCCCTCAGAAATGCTAGCTGCAAAGTCTCTTTTCTCTTCATAAGAAGTCCATATATACCTAGATCTAAAATACCGATTTCAATGGAGCTGAAATGACAGACACTGCAATACTGAGGTCTGGCAAGAACTTCAGATCAGGTCGTGCAGGTATAATACAAATTCAGCTGTCATCCATGGTTCTGGAAGATTCAGAGGTGTACCTTGGCCACACTAGGGAAGGCTCTATTCCCTTCATGGTTATCCTGATGGATTTAGGAACCTCAGTTGGGAACCCACGGGAAGTTGTGACTATTTTGCCAGGGTCCGAGATGCTGTTGTTATCTCTGCGTTGCTGTCAGCTCCTTGGAACTTCACTGCTTTTCTCTGATTTTCTATGACTGTTCTCTTACGGTTATTTCTCTTAATTAACTCTTTTACTTAAAATTTTATTTTCTCCCTCTGGGGCCTCCCTAGTTACTCCTGCACTGCTCACTGAAGATGGGCAGGAAGGGGATCACTTTAGTCAGGATGACTGGGGCAAAAGGGGCATGGAGGGGCCTGTAAGGAAAGCAACAAATTTCAACCCTCATCCTCCTCCTGGCTCTCAGACTACCCGCCAAGTTGTTCTGAGTTTATCTCTCTGCAATTCCTGGATGTCTCTCATCTCATCCACCTACTAGCAGAAGGCTGCTCCGAGCTTGCCTCAGGCCTTGAAGGGGACAGAGGTGGTACTTTTTGGCACGAAGGTTTCACCTAGCTCAAGTGCAGGAGCACGCTGTCCCTGTTGTATCCCATATCGAAGAAGTGCTTCAACTAATGAAAAAATGAGCATGAAATTTCTAAGACCATTGTAAAATTATTTTTTTAAAAAGATATATTTATTTATGCATACAAGAGCTGGGGTACAGGCCAGAGGTTTGAGGGGTAAGAGGATTCACCAGACACAGAGTGGGGAACAAAACAGGCAGAATGACTGAAATACACTGCTGAGGGGAGCAGCAGGCGAGACAGGAGAGGTCTGCTGTGTCATGTGTGTTGCTGGCCGGCCAGGGATCGAACTCATGCCGCAGAGGCTATGGATAGCTTCATAGTGCGGTGCTTAAGCCCTTGCTGCCCCAGGAAGGCCCAACAAAAGTAAAATTAATGCCAGCCAAATAGAAAAGGCAAAGTTGAACAACAAAGGATTTGTCTTGTTATGTGTATGTGACAGAGCTAAAATGATGCATTAGTGGGAAAAATTCCTGTTGAATTACTAGAAGAAGAGGAAGAAGACAGAGGATAAAGAAGAATGAGATTTATTGAAGTATTGGAACTAACTATTGGTTTGATACTGATTCACTTTTTCTCATGAGGTTCATTTATTTGCGTCATTTCTAGCAGGATGAACTCTGTCCTCCCTTTTTACTTAATTTCCTTCTTTATCACCTTTATCACCCTGTGGTGAAAAATGTATTGCTCAACTTTTATCAATAAACCCCACTTTCATAATTAGCTCTGGAAAATCAATTGAATCCTAGCCCTTAGCATCACAGTTGTGTGTGTGTATTTATTTCGAAAGCTGTGGGGAAATCTGAATATTTTAAAATAATAATTTTTTTTTTTTTTTTTTTTTTTTTTTTTTAAGATTTATTGATTGATTGATACATACACACAAGCACTGGGTACCGTCAGAAGCGCGGGAGGGTGAGAGAATTCACCAGAGCCAGAGCGGGGAGCAGAGCAGGCAGAAGGATGGAAGTACACTGCTGAGGGGAGCAGCGGGCGGCAGGAGAGGTCTGCGCGCCATGTGGGACCCTCCTCTGGTGGCCGGGGAGCAGCCGGGGATCGAACCGGCGCTGCAGAAGCTGTGGGCAGGTTCGCAACCCAACGCTCAACTGCTGCGCCACCGGGGAGGCCCTGTAATTTTTTATTTTATAAAATCATTCTATAAATGATTTTATGCATCATTTTTGTACAATGTATGCATTTTCGTCTTGGTTATAGTCCCTGTAAAATTCCCACTACCCTTGTTGTGATCCTACTCCCTTCTCCCCCCTGTGTAGTGTGTCTCTGGTTTATAGTTGCTCGTTGATTTTGATTTTTACTTTAGTATAATTAGTCTTTTTCCTGATCCCTTATTTAGGTTTTCTAAATTCCTGCTATGAGTGAGACCATCCGGTATTTTCCTTTTTCTTTCTGGCTTATTTCACTGAGCATGATCCCTTCCAGCTCCATCCATGTTGCTGCAAATGGCATGAGTTTATCTTTTTTGATTTCAGCCTAAAATTTTTTTATACTTAAAAAAAATTTAATATAATTTTTACATCATTTTTCATTTTTGCACAATGTATGCTTTTCATCTTGGTTATAGTCCCCATACAATTCCTACCTCCCTTATTTTGACCGTATTCCCTTCTACCCTCCCACTCCCCTGTGTTGTGTCTCTGGCTTATAGTTGCTTGTTGATTTTGATTTTTACTTTATTATAATTAGCCTTTCTCCTGGTCCCTTATTTAGGTTTTCTAAATTCCTGCTATGAGTGAGACCATTTGGTATCTTTCTTTTTCTTTCTGCTCAGCCTAAATTTTTTTTTAAGATTTATTTATTTATTTATACAAGCACTGGGTACAGTCAGACACGCGGGAGGGTGAGAGAATTCACCAGAGCCAGAGCAGGGAACAGAAGAGGCAGACTGATGAAATACACTGCCGAGGGGAGCAGCAGGCGGCAGGAGAGATCTGTCGCGCCATGTGGGACCCTCACCGGCAGCTGGGGATCGAACAGGCACTGCAGAGGCTGCGGGCAGCTTTGCAGCCCAGCGCTCAACTGCTGCACCACCAGGGGTGGCCCTCAGCCTAAAATT